ATGTTAACGCACTGCATACATAATCTGCCTGTACTGCACACTGCCTTCTATATTAGAGCCTTAATATCCTGACATCAAAATGTTAGCAAGCAACTGCTGATCTAAAGTTGTGTATAGATTAGTAATGTAAATCAATTATTTATCTTCATTTCAATATAATATATTCTAGTAAAATGTAAGGGGAATGCAACAATTGTTAAATATTTTTGTTGTTTATTATGATTTCTACAGTATATTTTACATGTGAGCTCCTGTACTGTCCCTCTGAAATCTTACCATAACTCACAGTTATTTAATCAAACGGTCAATTATTTTAAGCCATTCACCTCTTAATCCGTCATCCGACAGTGTAAAAAGCAGCAATGCATTTTGGGGCTCAAATATTGCATCACAAGTGCGAACTCCATGCAAGTCAGGATATTTAAATCAGCCAAGGCCAATGTTATCATTGATTTCCTCGACTTGCCATAAGCTCTAATCAGAAATACGCTGGGGTTATGTTACATCACAGAGTAAAACTGCCCCCCTTCTGTGTTTCAAAAGAGAATTTCATTCCCCTTTTCTCTCTGGTCAGCCCTGTTTGCCCGCTTTTCTTTTATGTTTCTCAAATACGCACTGCCCACAGGACACTAATGTCCTCTGACAGGCTGGTAAGGTCAACCCTCGGGTTGTGTGATAGTTTCACTCCAGGGGATTGCTGTGGAGGTGGGCATAGACCTTCCCCTCTTTTACACACCTGACACTCAGATATGTACTAAAGGCTCTGTGTGTGTGTGTTTGTTTTAGCTGTGTATATGTTGGTGTGTGTGTGTGTGTGTGTGTGTGTGTGTGTGTGTGTGTGTGTGTGTGTGTGTGTGTGTGTGTGTGTGTGTGTGTGTGTGTGTGTGTGTGTGGTAGGGGGAGCCAGATCCTCTTTCTGCCACCATGTTCCCTGTAGAGAAGAAAAAGAGAAAGAAAACATGGTAACACAAGTCAAGGAGAAATGTAATGATCATGGAAGCGTATGAGCATCATGTATCTGACTAGCTGCTGTTTGACATTTTTCGAATGACTAACATTTAAAGATGCACATGATGAGACATGCTTGCTTTCATACTTAAAACAAATAAATAGTGCGACAGGAAGAAACAGTTTAAATCCAGAAAATACATTTATAGAATGCAACAGATATGAATTGGAATATGTGACAATGATAAACTGATTATTATGCACACTTTTCACTTGTTTGTTTGAGTTATTTACCTTGTATCTTGTAAGAGAGGTTGGGGAATTAATACCTTCACCTGTTTTGAAAGGGGTGTTTCCAGGACTGACTGAGTGGGTGCATTGGAAATGTTATTTAAATTCCCTGAGCCATCAATCAAAGCAAATCTAAGACACACCAACAGCACTGAACTCTTCCTCAGCTTTCAACTGCAAACGCGTTATCAAAGTGCCTTACAGGCCCACATACGTATGGACTCAGGATAACACAAGGTAGCAACTTGTTGCTTTAACTAATCCTCCCTGGCAGGGTTTCAGTTCTATAATGTGACAGTGGGAGTCCAGTGTTGTGGATTAACTGACCTCCTCCTCACCTTGGTTACAAGGTAACACACCATAGTAGTGCTGTGAGACCTTACCAATAGAAATGAATGAGCTGCTGGAGTGCTTTCTGTTTTCATTTAAGTGAAAAGTTTGTCGGAATGGGATTATATTTCAACCAACACAATCTCCATGATTTCTTTCTAAACAAGGCTAGTGTAGTTGTCTCTGCTAATGATTTATTTTGTATACAGCAACAGTACAATCCTTAAACCAAAAGTCATTTAGAACATTACTACTGCATACTCAGATATATGTGTGTAAATGTTATCTCACATGGCATACATCCCAACAGTACATCAACATAACCAGAAGAATGAAGTAGAATAATAAATTGTTTGATATAAAATGTATTGGTGCTTAGATATCCACCCTGCATAATAACATGTCTGAATTAATCATTGCACAGAATCAGCTTTTAAAGCCTTGGTTTATGAGCAGCTGGAGTCACAGATTCAGTTGGATCTCTCTGATATTATTGTTTGTGATTGGAAAGAACCAGCTGTTGTTTAATCTGAAGATGTATCTTTTGACAGTTTAGAGATTTCTCACCCCTTAGTCTATCACATACAATGTGTTTCGAGTGTTAGCCAATAGAAGCGATAATGTTACATAGTGATGTCACTGAAGTAAACAAAGGAGTGCAGGAAAAACTATATAACACTACAGGAAAGTATACCCTAATCAGCTAAATAGCGCCTCTTCAAGGAACCCTGTGGAGTTTTTGACCACAAGTAGGGCTTTGAATCAATATTCTTGTGAGTCGTTCTGTTTATATTTTCCATGTGTGTTCAAGCTGTGTCACTGAATGTAAATATCACGCTTTTGTTTGTTTATAAGAAAGATCTTAACCTTATTGATTGATTGATTGAAAAGTTTATTAACAGCTTGTATATTGGGTACAGTACAGTACAGCTCAAAACATACAATTGTTAAGGGGATGCAGACCAGAGAAAGACTTTCGTCTTGTTTACATCAGGGTCCCCCATTTCCAATTCATCATATCATTTAAGACATATAAGACATATTTGACATACAGATGGCTTATTTACAATTTACATACAGGTGGTTTTTTACATACAGATTGCTTATTTACAATTTTCATTTTAGATTTCGTTCTAATACATCCTAACCGGACATTTAAGACATACCAAGTCTACAGATATACAGTTAGTAACAGAGTCTAAAATGCGAGTATATACATAGATGGGAGGGGGAAGCTGTCCATTGAATGACAGGTTGAGATTTGTACCATTACCGGGGCCAGTTTTGCAATGCTCTCCCCCGAAGGTGCTCTTTAAGAGAGGTTTTGAAGGTAAGTATAGTTTTACTTTCCTTTACAGTTGTGGGAAGAGCGTTCCACCTTGATGTGGCATAATTGCGAAACGTGTATTCCCCCTTTTTTGTGCCAAATCTGGGTTTCACATGATTTGTGGAGCTCCCTCTGGTGTTATGATCATGGTATTCCTTGACCTTTGGGAAGAATTTTGACATGTACATGGGTACCATAGAGGTGTAGTGGATCTTGTAGACCAGGCCCATTGCAAGTAGCTGTACTCTGTCGTCTACTCTAAGCCATCCTAGGTTGTCAAAGTGGGCAGAGGTGAGGTGGGTTCTAGATGAAAGGTCAAGCAGTAGTCTGACCTTTGCTATGGTACCATGACGTGCAAGCATAGTCATAGTACCCTTGAATGAGTGCTCCTGCCAGAGTTTTCAGGGTGTTTTTGTTTACCAGAGAGGAGATCCGGTATAGGAATCTAGTTCTTTGATTGACTTTTTTTATTACATTGGATGCCATTTTATCACAGGAGAGGTTTGCCTCAAGAATAGATCCTAGGTATATAATTTCCTTCTTACTTGTGACAATAATGTCGCCCACTGCAACTGAGAAGTCGTCGGATTTGCTGAGATTATGTTTTTCGAACCGAAGAGAATGGACTCTGTTTTACCCAGGTGTAATGATAATTTATTATCGGCGAGCCAGGTGCAGATTCTGCCGAGCTCGGAGCTGAGGGTTTTTTCAACCTGCAATCTGCTCCTGTCAGAGACCAGCAGGGCTGAGTCGTCCGCGAACAGGAACAAGTTGCAGTCACATGCTGATGACATGTCATTTGCATAAATTAGGAACAGTAACGGACCTAATATGCTTCCTTGTGGAACACCACAGCTCACTGGGAGGGGGGGGGACAGAGTACCGTTTACCTCCACCATCTGTTCTCTCCCCTCCAGGTAGGATTGCATCCAGCTCACCGATAGTCTATCAAAACCAATGGCTTTTAGCTTGTCAATCAGAATGGGGTGATTGACAGTGTCGAAAGCCTTTTGTAGGTCCAGCATCACCATGCCGCAGTATTTGCCCTCGTCCACCTCTTGTTTGATGTGGTCGCTCAAATAAAGAAGGGATGTGTCAGTGGAGTGGGATGTTCTAAAGCCAGATTGAAATTCATAGATTAGTTTATTTTCCTATTTTCCGCGAGGTACTTTTCGACCTGTTCATATACTATTTTTTCCATGACTTTCGAGATGGAGGTAAGTATAGAAACAGGGCGGTAGTTGCCTGGGTCCAATTTGCTGCCCTTTTTGTGCAGGGGGGTTACTCTTGCAATTTTGAAGTCTTTGGGTACTTTTCCCTGTTTTATGGAGAGGTTAATTATGTGAGCTATGACTGGTGATGGCGGTTGCTGAGTCTCTGAGGAATTTGGAGGGGATATTGTCGTGGCCAGTGGCCTTGTTAGGTTGGAGGGCGCTCAGTTTAATGAGTACCTCTGCTGTTGTTACCCTTGCTAGACTGAAATCATCTTTGCGTACCCCTAGGTTTTTGTAGTAGGTCATGATGTGATCTACTCCAAAAAGCCCTGAGTGGGAGGGTAATTTATTTACAAGAGTTGTGGCTATGTTTGTGAAAAAAATGTTCAAGTACTTGGCCACATCCAGTTTGTCTGTGATGAGCCTGTTATCTGTCTTTATGTTTAAGTTAGAAAATCTCGTTTTGAGTTTTTTACTGCAGTATAAGCTGGTTATTGAGTAATTTCCAAAGTTGACGGGGTTTATTTTTGTTTTCCTCAGTTTTGACATTGATGAAATTCTTTTTGGCAGTTTTGATCATGGAGCTTAGTCATTTCTTAGTCTGTTTCTTTCCATTTTTAGTTCAGTCACGTGGGCCTGGAGTTCACCGCTCGTGCTTTTGGCAAGCATTGACTGACTTTCATGTGTAGTGTCTAAGTGTTAAGCACTGCATCATCGTACATTTCATATTTTGCATGAATTTCACCAATATTGCAGAAGCAAACAGAGCCAACAGCTGTTATCGTTAGGACATTTTGACGGTGACGGCTTAAACTACGTCCCCCCCCCCTCCCCCTCTCTCTCCCTCTAGAGACATGTGAGGAAAGAAAGTAGAAGAAGGAAGGAGCTGCTGCTGACACATTCTGCTTAGCACCACGGACAGCGGACGATTAGGAGACACAAGCTATCCATCGATATTTTTGGAGAATCAGGAGACTAAATGGACAATGAGGAGTTTGGTTTGGGGATTTTCTGATTTTGATTGCTCTCAAAAGTATTTTGCGCTGCTTGGCAAAGTAAGCGTGTTCTCGTCTTTGTGTAATGTATGCGAGAGGTAAAAACGTAGCTTTTCTTTGGTAGTAAAAGTCCCTAAGCAAAGTTTAGATTAGATACCCTTTATGCATAACTAACACCAAGAGTATCAGGCGTTATTATCGAGCTCCAGGCAGGTCTGCCGTGCGTAAAAGCCGTGCCGCTGATACCAGCGATACTCCCGCTTGACGCGTGCGACAGCAGATGGATTGTATGTTTGCAGTGTCATGTTGATAGTCAGTGTTATTAAAATCGAAAACAGGTGAGTAATTACGCATATTACTCCTTGTTAAAAAACCTATTCGAATGTAAGATACAAGACAATATAGTATTTGGATTTGGCTCAAGGCGCATGGTGAGCATTGAAAGAAAAATGAAAACACACACTTTGTCATTCCAAGGAGAGAGTAACAGTGGTCAGTACACTTGACTGCTATGAGTCGCCTACTTTATCTAAGGCACATAGCACACACCTAAATTCAAGACACTTATCAAATGGGTCAAACCACTGTTTCATTGTTGCCTAGTGAGTAAGTAAAGTTATTCCAATATAGCATCCTTTTTTAAAAAAGAAAATAGAAAAAAAAGTACAACAAATAAACATCAGCAGAAACAGAACTTAAAAAGATACAAAAATCACAAACACTCGAGGCGAAACAAGGGTCTTTTAGTGAGTTTCCAGCTGCTTTTTAAAGGCTTCTACATACATTGATTTGTTTCTGTTCCAAAGTAAACATGGAAACTAACAAGGCGGAAGTAATGACTTTCTTTTAAATGAGTAAAAACCTGAGGTAACAAATCTACATCTGGACTCTGGCACCATCATCCTCTCTGAAACCTACAATGGAGCCCCCTGAGCAAAGCTACTGGTTTCCCCTGGCATCAGACCTCAACTCCTCCTCTGCAGCCCCCCCGTCGCCTTTCCTCTTCTCCTACCTCCACCTCTCCAACATCTCCTCCAACCTGTCCACTCAGAGTGTCCCCTTCCAGGGCAGCAGCACCCTGATGACCGCTCTCATCTCCCTCACAATCTTCATGGTGGGTCTGACCGGCAACACTCTGGCCATCTACGTGGTGCTGCGCTATGCCAAAATGAAGACAGTCACCAACATCTACATCTTGAACCTGGCTGTGGCCGATGAGCTCTACATCATCGGGCTCCCCTTCCTCACCACGCAGAACGTGCTCTCCTATTGGCCATTTGGCACCTTCCTGTGCCGCGTGGTCATGACAGCAGACACCATGAACCAGTTCACGTCCATTTTCTGCCTGACGATAATGTCCATCGACCGCTATCTGGCTGTGGTTCATCCAATCCGCAGCACCAAGTGGAGGCACCCCCGCGTGGCCAAGGTGGTGAGCGCAGCCGTGTGGGCCGTGTCCTTTGTGGTGGTCCTGCCTGTGTTCATCTTCTCTGATGTTCAGGTAAAAACTTCAGTCCTACATGTGCTTCACCTTTTCTGTTTAGCTTGAACTAAAGTGTAGGATCCTTGGAAATCTACACGGGGAGGGGGTTTTCTTCCCAAAATCCATTAAGTTGCACCACCATGTTTCTACAATATCTTAGAATGGACAAATTCAACTTTGGCTCTAGAGAGGGACTTTTACATTTTGGTGTTTACTAAAGGCCATCGCAAGGAGAGGTGAAAGGAGTGGTTTTCAGTTGGTTTTCATCAACCTCACAGCTAGAGACCAGAAACTCATACACACTTGAACTTTAAAAGCTCCTCCTGATTAAAAATCCTTAATGTTCCACTAAGTCTAGTTAAAAGCTCATATGGAATTAGAAAACACAGTCGGTTCATCCCTTTTGTTACATCCCAAATTGATATGAAAACAAGGAATTGTTTAAATAGTCATAGTTATGTAGTTCAACATTACTCCCCCCTCAGCAAATGATTACACGTTTTCATCGATCATCTTGAATTGAAGCTTTTTTTTATCTTTAGGCTGTATTAAATGGAACATATTATGCTCATCTTCACATTTAATTTTTGTATTTAGGGGCTCTTCTGTCTCCATGCTTTAATGTTCAAAAAGCTCTTTATTTTTCTCATACTGCCTGTGCTGCAGCACCTCTTTTCACCCTCTGTCTGAAACCAGAGCCCAGTCCGCTCTGATTGGTTAGCTGGCCATCTCTGTTGTGATTGGTCAACCGCTTACAGATGTCTCACCCCTTAGCCCTACAATCATGTACAATGTGTTTGAGTGCTAGCCAATAGAAGCGCAAGTGTAACAAAGTGATGTCACTATGTGTCGGAGACAAACTCCCTCCGGAGGGAACTGTGGGATTCTAGCATTTGCAGACCAACTTTTTCAAAATAATGTTGAAGAACAGATAACATCTGTCACAAGATCAGACTTAAAGGGATCATTTGAATTCCGCAAATTACACTGAATTCACTTTCTTGTTGAGAGAAATACAAGGATATTGATTCCAGATTTGTGTCTGTTAAATATGGAGCTAAGGGCATCACAGGCTTAGCTTAGTATAACAGCTGGAATTGGTTATGTTCATGTATATACAATAAATACAATGATGGTCAACAGAAACATTTGCTGATGGCAAGAACAAAGTGGAGCACTCACTGTACCAGCCAGATAATTTCTTAAGGCATAGATAGAGACCAAAAACAGAGCTAAAATAAATGAATAATAGAAGAACATTTTCAAGGCAAGAAATTCAATAATTTGTCTCCTAAGACTTAACTGAAAGAATGCCTTTGCCTTCTTGAACCTTTTGAGAATTCATGATTATACAAGAGATTCTTTGATGGAAAGAATACGCAAGTTGTTTTTGAACTAACTGAATATCCGAAGGTATTATATGAGAGGAGAAAACACTTTTAAAATAAAGGTGGGTGGAGAATATTCCGAACAAAGTTTCTTCAGTCAACGTCGAACCATACTGCTGAAGGCCGTTGATAACAAAACGACAAGTTACTTGCCAGTTAGACAGTCGTTTCTCTAGGCAAACACAAAATGTAACAACATAAAGTCTGGAAATGTCATCCACAAAGCAAAATGTGCTTTCTTGAGAAAGCAGATAATGTTATTGGAATTTCTCCTAACATCCCTTTCTGCATTATGAATACGCTTTATAGTTTCAATTGAAGTCTATTGTTTACTGTGTTTTGCTCCCAGTGTGACTGAGCAGATAATTGCAATTTGTATTTGTTTTACTCAGGTTAATTTTATGTCCTTTATAGGAGACATTTAACTCCTGCAACATGAACTGGCCAGAGCCAAATAACGCGTGGTCAACAGCCTTCATCCTCTACACTGCCACAGTGGGCTTCTTTGGACCCCTGCTCATCATTTGCCTCTGCTACCTGCTTATTATTATCAAGGTGTGTACAAATGTGTGTTTTTGTGTGTGTGTTCTTGTGCTGTTATTAAATATTGATCATTTCAATCATCCTCAACATTTTACCAACATTTGTATCCCTTCAATCATCATTCAATGGGTGCAGATTAAGTCATCAGGGGTGCGGGCGGGCTTCACCAAGCGTCGGCGTACGGAGCGCAAGGTGACGCGGATGGTGGTGGTTATCGTGGTGGTGTTTGTGCTCTGCTGGCTGCCGTTCTTCATCATCAACATAGTCAATCTGGTGGCCATCATCCCAGAGTCCAGCGTCAGTGCCGGCATCTATTTCTTCGCTGTCAGCCTGTCATACGCCAACTCCTGTGCCAACCCGGTGCTCTACGGCTTCCTGTCAGACAACTTCAGGCAGAGCTTCAGAAAGGTAGGTTAAATATCCTCAAGGCGAAGGTTGAACAAGTAGTTTGACATTTTAGGAAATAGACATCTTTGCTTTCTTGCAGGGATATGGATGGAAGATCAATACCACTGTCATGTCTCTACAGGTAGTAGCCCTTTAGCTTAGTTTAGCGTAATGACTGAGAGCAGGTGGAAACAACTAGCGGTCCTGTCTAAAGGCAAAATAATCTTCCTAGGGTTATCTGACAATGATTGGTAGTGCGTTAACATGAAAAGCAAACTGCAGAGTGTAACACTTCTTATCTTGGACTATGCTATCTGTAAAATATCTAATTCAATGAAAAAAAACACAATTGTACCATCAATGAAATCAAATGACAAATGAAAACCTAGAGTACAATATATAGTGTCTCTTTAAATCCAGGTACAACTTAAATCCAGTTCCAACCTTGTAATTTCTTCAATACTCTACCACTCTGGCAGTGAGTTCAGCTATTCTCTCTTGATAAACCAGCAAGTCCTCTCACTGGCGCGAAGATCAAAGCAGTCCGTGGGTCTGGCTCGCCATCTTGTATCAGAGCGCGTGTGTGTGTTGTCCTCTCACTCGCGATCAACTTTCTTATCCAGTCCAAAAAACCTGACCTGTACGACAGGTCATGAAAGAATATAAATATAATATAAACTAACAATATAAATTATATAATTACATTTTCAAAACTACTGCAAACTTAGCTCTTTTGTCAATACAGCTTATAATGGGGCTCAAAATGGCAGCTTTACAGCTCCTCTGCACGTGTCATGTATCCTGTTCACACAAAATAACACACATTTCTCCTTGTAAAATACACATTAAAGCCACGTAGTTTCAGCCAAACAAAATAACAAATACAGGACATTGCAAGCCATTCCCTTACAGTTCAACAACGTGAAATGCTAACAATGAAGCTAACATTAAATCACTCATACAAAACTTTTCTATGAAAAGGTTTGACTCACCAAAACACCGTTGGTTAATGTTCTATACCGTCTACTGGGTTTCCCGACCGTGTGGATGGTATCTTTATCTTTTTTAGACTTTTTTTTTTTGTATTCTTTTTTTTTTACATATAATTGTAAGGCAATACATGATTGTCACTAAAAGCCTTGTTTCTATATTACAATAAAATATACAAAATAATTGATTAATTAATTTCAATAAAAATTCAAGTTAGTATTAAAGGCATAAAAAGACAGAAATGTATAATTGTTTCTTTAATAGAAATGTTTCTTCTGCCCGTAAAGTGTCCAAACCAGGCTTTTCTGGATAAGCTCATTTTTAAAACATAGTCATTGTCCATGCCGGTTTCAGTTGGATTATTTGTCACAGTTGCTCCGATCAGATCGGTCTCCTCCATTTTGTAGATTATTTACGATTTTTGAATCCACATAAACACATCGGCAAAATCCGGTTTACTTTGAGCATGTGTTTTAAACAGTTTAATCCCTGAGTGAATTGTTTCCACTTGCGCCGTCCTTTAATTCTTCATACAGCGGGAATCCAAATGAATTAATCCTGAGTCCAATAACCATCAAAGTCACTCCAATAGTGCTCCTTAATTACGCTTTCATCCTCCTTTAACAACATACTTCACATTCATCTAGTTTGTGACAGTAGTTGTAGCATTTTTGAGACTTTTAAACTTTAATTACCGCTGTTGAGCCCCCCCCCCCCCCCTTGTGTGTGTGTGTGTGGGGGGGGGGGGGGGCGCAACTTCCAACAGGAGTCATTTGGGGGGGGCTCTTGGGAAAAAAGGTTGGGAACAGTACCTTGTAATTTGTCATACTAGTTTTATTTATTATATTTTTAAAGGGATTGGTCAAGGTTATCATTGACCAATTTTAAACGTGTATCCTTTAATGAAATCACTTTTGAATGACTTTATGCTTACTATGTTTTAATGTGGGTTACAAGAGCAAAAATAGTTTGTACAACTACATTTACTTTTGATTATTTCGTCCTGGTTACGATGCCTACCTCAGCAGCGCATGTGCGTTGTGGAACCTCTTGCTTTTTAAATGAAAAGCCCTTTACATTGAAAAACATAGTGAAATATGTGTAGGACCTTATTTTGGGGATAATGCATTGACTTGAACGGCTCCATTATTTAGTGGAATATAGGATTTTGATTGTTGAATCTGTTGGGTTCAGAATTCCAGAAAAGACAGACAACTTCTAAGTTTAACTATTTATTGTAAAGAGAGCAAAATATATATATTACTTGGCCAAGGACTCATCACGTCTTTGGGAATCACAGGCAGCAAAGCTGTAATCTGTAACCATCAAATCTGTCAAGAGCCTCGAACCTCGTGCGACAATACATTTTATTACACAGGGCGTTGCCCGTACATTTATGATTGGTCAAGACTAGATGAAGAGATACCGCGGTTTAGACTTGGTTCTCTTTGGTTGGTGCGCAGACTCAGATAGAAGGCTTGTTTGAGACGCTTTGCGGCTCGCCTCGAAAGTAGACGAGAATAGCCGATCGCAGCCGGGGGAGGTCTCAAAAAGCTCGCCTGAAGTCGGACAGCTCGGAGTCCATGCTTGGGCTGCTTCTCAGGTCGACTATTTTCATTTCCTCGCTCCTCGGTCCTCGGTCTCACCGGAAGTTGATTTGCCTGCGCCATCTTGAGTACCGTCCCATGGCTCTTATTTCTGCCGGAGGACCGAGGATCGAGGAGCGAGGAGCGATCATGGAGGAGCCATAACCGAGGAACCACTAGACCATCCTCCGATGAAATCCTCAGATACTCACCCCGCCCCCTTACTGTGTATCGCTCACTGATTGGACGAGGCAGTGCATGCACTGATCTGATGCTTCTTGACATGAGAGCACTGAGCAGAGTGAAGAAAATACATGAACCTCACGGGAGTCACTCCTCAGTTTATACCGTGTTTTGTTTCAATTCATGTATCATTTAGTTACAAATATGTGATATATCTGAACAACAAAGTGGTCAAAAATCATTTAATTCATTTTTTGGAAACATTTTCATGATCGCTTTTTTCGTTTTACATTTTCATTTATTGTCATTTCCATTCAGTCAGTCATTAAGTGCTATTAAAATGTTAATATGCTACATATCCACACAAACACACAAAGTGTGCAATCCAATGAATGTTAATCCAACTGGGTTTTGATAGATAACATATCTCCTTTTCTTCTCTCAATTATTTTATTTCTATTGTGCACTCTAATCAATATTAATCAAACTATTGTTCGTTTATACATTTTAAGAATGGCGTTTATCTTTTTTGAGAATTAGTTCTTATTTTATTTTATTTATTGGGGTCTACAACAGATGATACAAATGTTTGTGTCAGTAAATGTGTACTAACAGAGGCGGGGGGGTTTGTGTGGAATAACGGGGACAGAGCTGCTGTCAGACGATCAGCTGTGCAGCGTCATCACAAACGGACGTCGCTTCACGTGACGCTCCGGAGGAAAGGACGTCCCATTGCTCTTAAAACTAATTTCCCTGCTTCTCGTGGTTTCCTTGCGTCCCTTCATGCTTCCCTGGTGGGAGGGACTAAACGCAGGGAAACGACGCAAGTGAGGGAAGCAAGGATTTCAATTAATCGACCTGAGAAGCAGCCTTGGAGTCGGCTTCGTCTTCTTCTTCTTCTCTCGGTTTTTTGGCGGATTGCAAACAACTTTAAGGTGCATACCGCCACCTCCGGAGTCGGCTTGACTCGGTTTGCATTTATAAAGAATGCACACATGTGTTTAATCGTTAATGTCAGATATGTACGAAGTAAATACATTTGTTCCTGCTCCACTTTATTGTAATTGCACATATTACAGGTACTGAGACAACGAAATGCAGTTTAGCTTCTAACCAGGTGCAACAAGCAGTAAAGTGAAAAGTAATGTACACAATCTACAGAATAAAATATAGAATGAATTGAATGATGAATAAACAGTGAGGGGTATGAATACACTAGATCAGGGGTGCCCAACCAGTCGATCGCGATCGACCGGTCGATCGCGGGGAGATTCCCAGTCGATCGCGAGATGTGTCTAAAAATAGAACAACAACATTCTGTTTTATCGTTAATGTCCTATAACATAATCTTCCCGTGCCAGAATAATGCACTTGAACGCATCAAAGCTTTGTGATTGGCCGGCGTGACCCCATGTGTCGGGGCGTGGCTGGTGAGCAGTGGGCACTATTTCGCTGACTTTGTCCGTGTCAACAGGAGTGACAGTCACACAAGACCACAATTATGGCAGAAGCAAAAAAGCCCAAAATATATAATTTTCACTCCGAGTGGGAGGATGATTATTTGTGTATCTATTCCAATTCAAAGTCCATCTGTCTCATCTGCAATGCGAGCGTGGCTTTATCGAAGAAGGGTAATTTAGGAGCGGCATTTCAAAACAGTGCACAAACGCTACGAGACGGAATTCCCTCCTAATAGACCTATCGCTAAGCCACGCCCCCTTTGAAAACTCGGACAAACAAAGCCGACCGTGAATGACTCTTGACAATGGCCGCGGGGGGAGTTCAAGTTAAAATAACATTAAAATAGAAGCAAGAGCTAATAAAAGCAACAGCAGATGAAAGTTAACAGTTAAAAGCAAGAGTAAAAAGGTAGCCATGTATTTCTTTATATAAAATATCTAATCTTGTTGCCTGTCGTGTGTAGTGGTGACTGTTGTGTAACCATTGAAATAATAATATGATGTTGAATGTTAGCAGTGGTGGTCACTACATTAAATCTATAACTATAACTGTCCTTGTTGGTCATCATTTTCACTGTTATGCACCTGGCTGACTGTAGCGTTACCTTTTTTTGGGTGAGGGTCTGTGTCTTTTCGGAGCAGCACACACGAGAGCCCGGATGGGATCTGATATTCCAGAGTTGGCTTCCCATCTCTGAAGTGCTTTGAGGTGAAAAGACAGTTAGCCAAAGTTAGCTAAAAACACCAGCTAACTAGCGAGGACGAAAAGTCAGACAGCAAACGTTGATGTTGATAACACTGT